CCTAGCAGGAAAAACTGTCACGCCTCGTAGAGTTTATTACTGTGTTATACACAATCATCTAAAATTTTAAAACTGTAAATCATGGCTTCAAGTTATTCATTTATTATTACATTTTTATATCATACTGAAATTTCCAAGATAACAAGGCGTTAATTAGTCATGGTAGAAACAATAGGTAATTAATTCGCAAATATTCAATATGTCCACATAAATGGTAACAATCGCCTGTGGCCTAGCTGTCGCCACAAAACACCATCACTGAGGCAATATGCCTATATTATGTTTCACTTTGACGTCCACTATAATTAAGAGATATTATTACGTTACTAACACTGATATTAGTGGATTAACACTAATCTCTAAAACAGTGTTTCACAACCTTTCTGATATGGTGACCCTCGTATTCGCTATTTGTTCAGTAAGTTACCCTCTACCCCCCCCCCTAATACATATAGTAATTTTTGTTGTAAGCAATTTCAATATTATAATATACAATGTTGAATAATAAATACTTGATTCAACTAAATGAAAAAAAAAAATTGTTCAGTTAAAACATTTCGGTGAAAAAATACAAACTGACATCATTAATAGAAAAAGTGGAAAAGTGGACACAACAGATTTAGAGTGAGTCACTTTAACTTAAATTAGGTTTGGTAAGGTTTATTTAATTTAAATCGAAAAAAAAATACTAATTTAAGCTTACCTATTTAATAAGTAAGTATTTCCTATGCTATTGAAGCGAATGGTCAATACCTAGATAAAAAAAATTCCGTAAACAGCTCAAAACGAGTCTAAATATTTTAAAAACTATATCAAGTATAATACAGATAATGATAAAATATACATAAATTCGTTTTTGAATTACAACAAAACAAGAAAATAGTTCTTTGAAAAATCGAATGAATATACAATGTAAAAATCTTAATTTCAAATACTAATAAAAATGTAATTTGACTTTTTATTAAATATATATATATATTTTTTTAAGTATACAGTTTGTCAATAGTTTATTACATTCAATTTTAAAATCCTTGATTCTTATGGATTTCTAACTCAAAATATTTCGAACAATTTTGTAATTTTGATAAAATTTGTCAACATTTAAACTTCAAATATTCACAAAATTATTGTAGATTTACACTGCTTTTTTTTAAATTTCCACTAACAAAAAACAGTGGGGAAGTGGTAGCCTATCGTAATTTCCTCAAACATCTTATACCAACTATTTATTAAAAACAATTAGACTATTTTTAATAACTCCATCCATGGATTTCATTACAAGAAACTGTAAAATTTGCTGGCTATCGATGAATGATGTTGATGCATCACATTGTCAACAAATTTCTGTAAAATAACATCAATGACGAATGAATTAATTGACAAAATTTTCCCAAATCTACCACAAAATTACAGAAATCGTCAGTGACTTATAGTGCATGGGCTATATTAGCAGCCAAAAACTATGATGTAAATACAATCAACGTCACTATTCTTAACGAAATTTCAGACTACACGACAACGTACCAGCCTATCGATACTATAATGAATCAAGACGAAGTTGTCAGATATCCAACTGAATTCTTAAATTCATTTGTTTTGCCAAGCATGCCGTTGCAAGTT